CATAATTTTCACCTTCCCATTCTCCTGCAACTTCTCCTGTGTCCCTTTCATGTCTTCTCAAAACCCCTTCTTCCATAATTATGCACGCACGTGCGCGCGCACACACACACACACACACACACACACACACACACACACACACATGCATGCTACATGGTCAATCAGTGCTGCTCTTATGTATATGCACTTAGGGCTGATCACTTGGGATTGGATAATCCATCAGGGTTCTTGTTCCCCAGAGAAGAGAAGACTGATTCTCTCTCTCTCTCTCTCTCTCTCTCTCTCAGCAGTCAAGAGTGGGGCCTTGTGTGTGATATGTACATGTTTTTTTATTTGGTTCCTATTTGCTTCAAATATATAACTTCTAAATAACATAGATTTTGCCTTTATGATTAAGTTGCAAATTTATAGCTTACAAATGCATTGTGGAACCATTTATAGTTATTCAGTCATTAAATATTTATCCATATTTTCTATTTTTCATGCTTGTCCTTCCTTCTTACCTTTTGAATTATTCAAAATTTATGGTACTGCTTTCTCTCAGATAGCTTAGCAGTGATAACTATTTCTAGACTCAGAAAATATTCTTAATTTATTATAACTATATTAGATTATCTTTCATGCTAGTACCTAAAATTATCCAATAAGATTTACTCAATTTGTTAGTTTTCAAGTGTAATATATCTGTATATATTTTAAATATACAATGCATGTATTTTCACAATTTCTTTTATTTCAAAAAGATTGCACAGAGATATTCTGTTATATCATGTGGATAAGTGATTTTGGTTTTTGTCCTCTCTCTCTCTCTCTCTCTCTCTCTCTCTCTCTCTCTGTGTGTGTGTGTGTGTATATGTGTGTGTGTATATGAGAGAGTGTTTATTGGGATATATATATATATATATATATATATATATATATATATCTGTAAATGATTGGACAAATCATTAAATCATTTATGGACAAGCAGAATTCCCAGAAAAATATAGTGAACATTTCTATTTATGAATGCAAGATTATATGCACCAGGAGCTTGAAGGAAGGTTTAAAGCTTATTATATTCAATCTTGATCAATTCACAAACTCAAAATTCTTCTGCTTATGATGTTTTGGGACTTATAATTAGTTTAGGTGGAAAAAGATGAACAAAGAAGACATTATTTCCAATTTGAGAAAGCTGACATACTATTGGGTGAAGGGGTGTTGATATGCCAAAATATATGTGTGTAGAATCCATAGGGCCATAGTAGGAGGAGCAGGTGCCCTGGGCTGAGTTTCAAAACATTCATTCCAACTAAAAATCTGTAATATCTTCTTCCCTTTTACACCTGACTGTGTCTGCCTGGTTGAGTAAAAGCAGTGCATGCTTGATAGAAAATGTATTCCTATTGAGCCCAAAGCTGCCTGCTAATCTTTCCTATCCTTTGGTCCTGTTTCTGGCTTCTAAAGATTAACAAAACATATGGTAACCTAGTATTCCAGTCCTTAGATGCTTACCTTCTCATCCAGCTTGCTCTGTGCTTTCCAATCCGCATTTCCTACATCCTCTGCCCCCATCCTTCTTATTGCTGCTCCTTTCAACAGTGCTGGTGTAGCTCCTAAGCTATGCTTCCTACATTGAATAAATTACTACACATGTATCAAACCTAGGAAAAATTATGATGGAACTTATCCTTTGATAAAAATGTACTCCTACTTATAGAGTCCAAGGTCACATTTGCATGTATTGGCGGCATCTATGTCTTTGAGTGATCCGTCAGTGCTCAGTCTATTTGCTAAATAAGATGTGAGAGAGGTATTATACACTACAGGTTTACATAGTTTAGGAACAAGAAAGAAAGAGAATTATAGGAAAAAATTGAAAGAATGGAAGTTTATTTTGTTACATACATGAGGCCAAGATTATGTAAAAATGTTCCTACATTATAAAAAGCAAGGCATCCTATATTGTTTGGAACTCATTTGTGTTTTGTAGAAGTTCACTTTTGGTCCTATCAAAATCATGGCCAACCAATATATATGTCTACAGAGTCAAATATACCCAAATCTTTTATTCTCGTTATCATTAATCTTTCTGGCTTCTGCTTGATTGTGTAAATCAAAAGCTTATTTGATCCTCTCCATTTTCTGCCAAGTGCAGATCTGCAGCCATTGCCTTTTTGCAGCCCTGAAAAGAAGTGCTCTGAGGGTCCCTTTTCTGTTCAACATGAGCTCTGAATTGCATTTACTTACCATCAGTCATACACAGTTCATTTTTCAAAAGGTTCAGCAGATGATTATTTTATACAGTAGTTCACCAATACCTTGCATCATCCTTTTAATAATCATTTAGAAATAGAGAACATTTAGATACCCTGACATCACCACAGAGTGAACACTGAGATCAAGTCATCCGCAGATGCTAATCAAGTACATAGGCTGCTAGGCCGTTTGTCCTGTTTGTCCCGTTGAATCAGGTGGAATCACTGACAGCCAAAGGCTCCTCTGCAAATGTAATGGGTAAGCCCATCATGGTTTGCTAGATGGACATGATAAGTGATGTCAAGACAGGCATTCAAAACTGTCAAATGTGGACAACTTAGTATTATACCCCTAAGACATCTGAGGGAGAACACTGTTCTTATTACCAATACAGTAAAGCCTTGGGGTATCTTAGAAACTTCTAGAAAGGAGGGTGCAGTGAAAAGTATGGAGAGTCAGTAACTGAAGTGCTTGAGTGCTTTGTAGAGGACACAGCTGGTAACCACGGTCAGTGAAGGCTAGTGACCTGACAGAAGTGAGTCTTGTTGGACTTGGGAGACTTTTCAGAGCAAGTACCCTCACTGAGTCAGGTGCTCTTAAACAGGCAAGCAAAGAAGGGGTTTGCAGTGGAAGGGTTTAAGTAGGAGAGGGAGAAGGAACTAAACAACAAACTCTGTCAGGAATAGAAACAGACAAAGGTGGCAGCCCTGGAGAGTGCTGGAGCTGGGAAGGCTGGCTGGAAGTGGGTCCTGGAGAGGGTGTGTACTATGTTATCCAATTTAAATCTGATATTCACACGAGGGCATGCTTCCCTGGCTTTGTGGCATGATTTTAGAAGTTGCAATTTCCTTTTTAATGAAAGTTAACATTTAAACATTCTAAACTGAAGGCATCTATTGTAGAGAGAGAGAGAGAGAAAAAAAATGCAGCCGCTACCTCCCTGCACTCAAATACACTAAATCCAAATCCAAGCCAAGCTCCCTGATATATCTCTAGACACCATCTGAGTTTCCCTCCTTGTCCCAGACCATCCCTTCACTTCTGGATTACTAAACACCACAAACACAGACGACTGGAAAAATCACTGTTGTCAGAGAACCCGAGGGTACATTTCTAATATTAACCAAGAACAAAGATGATTTGAAAGTTATAGGTAATCACTCACCTTACGGATATTCAAATTACATTGTCAGTCTTTGCAAATACATCACAATTCACAGTGAGAATTTACAATTTGTAGGGTTTATCAGAACATGATTATTTAGGGAGAAATTTGGAATTTCTCTAAGACACTAATCATCATAACACCTATAAACCATCAAAACCTGAGAAGGGAAACAAAATGAGTAGCCATCCACATTGATGTTTCACTTATTTTAAATGATTGCTTATTCATTTATTTATTTTGTTTTCTACCTGTATCTTAATATGCTGTATGTTAACAGATATTTTTTTGTTTTTAAAATGAAAACAAGATGCTTCTCAATTCTCTACATATGCAACAATCCTTTGTGTGCAAATTTCCATTAATATTTTCTGTACCAGACAACACTTTTTAAAACTTCAGTTCCTTTTATTTCATTACAACTTTTTGTAACTCATTCTTAATAGACCAACATGGAAAGTGTGCACACATACCCATTACTCACAAGGAAATGCTAAAAATAGATTCCAAGAGAAACGGAATTTGAAATCGCTTAGTATTTGTGGAAATTCTTTGAAAATTACTCTGCTTGTTTGGGATCTGGTATTCATCACTGATCATGCCTGTTCCTGAAGACTGTGGTTCTAACAACCATGCTATGTTTAATGGAACAGGTAATCTTGTATTCTTTTATTTCTTCTTAAAAAAATGCCATGTGTTTTCTTTTGGGATATCATGTTTAACACAATTTACGACCAGCGGGTCATTAATTGCTTTTCCAGGTTCAAACACAGCCAGCAAAATGTCACATGCATCTGGAAGGACAGTTGCATTCTAGACCCAACTGCCATAGTTTTCAAATAGAGTCACTGCCATATATACTTAGAAGGATGAACCAAACAGAAGTAAAGCTGGACAGAACAAACACAGCCATGCTTTCAACAAAGTATGCTTGGCATCAAAAGCATCTCCAAAATCATCATGAAAAATTTTGAAAACAAAATAGTGTTAGCAAAGCCCCAAATGTGTAGGCATGAGGGTCTGAATTTGGATCCCCAGCTTTCACATAAAAAAAAATTCTTGGTCCAACACAATAGCATGTGCCTAAGATCTTGTTCTTGGGAAGGTGGAGCCAGGAGGATACTTGGGGATCACTGACCCGCCAGTCTTTCCCAGACAGACCTCTAGATTGCATTTCAGTGGGAAATTCTGTCTCAAAAAAAAAAAAAAAAAAAAAAAAAAAAAAAAAGTAAGGTGGAGAATTCTAGAAAACACACTGTATGGAATGGAGTATCTACCTGCTCCCCACCTTCCCCCTGTTCACAAAAGCTTGGAGGCTGAAAAACACATTTTAAATAGAATATATGTATAGAAAAAAATCCCTCTCTAAGTGAGATAAGTCAGTCCCATCTCCCTGTTCCCTCAAAGTATGCATGGCATGTGGTATGTGTTTTCACTTGCCGGAGTCATCCTTCATGCAGCCCTAGTCTATCAAAGAGGTTAAAAATTTATAGAACTCTGATGGGATATGGTTTCAATGCTTCATCACACACCCCATCATTTGCTTTCCAATCTAGATCAGAATAATCTTGCCGCTTTCCCCGAAGTCACCTACCTGCACTTCTAATATTTTCTGAATGCTGTCCTGGGAGTCTCCCTGAAACTTGATCAGCCTGTTCTGGTTAAAAAGGATCACCAGTTTGAAGTATTCTTGCCATTGCTTGTCCAGCCTTTCTTGCAGCTGACAGAGCTAAAGGCGACAGGGAGGGGAAAAACACAAGTCAGGGGAGGAGAGGAAATTAATGACACTGTTCAAGAAGAATGATGGAGGAAATACAGAAAGCAGCCAATGGCCCGTTCCACACTGGACGGACCTGACAGGAATTTCACAGTCTCTTGATTTTTCAGCCCGCTCATGTGCATTCGTCAGAGACCAGTCACATCTGGCCGCCAGGATGGGGGGTTAATTTTCTCTAAATGCCTCAGCAGTTTTGTTCTAGCTGAAGCAAACTCTGTGACTGCAGAGCTGATGAGTAAAATATTTCTACTTCACCCAGTTTAACTCAAAACCGATAGCCTCAGGACATATTGAACCTTTCTGTTTTAAAAAAAAAAAATCTTTTGACGCTTTTTTGAATGGCACATCAGGTCAAGCCAAAGTTTAAAAAATGCAACCTGGAGACTTTGATGGACATCCCTGCATCTTTTTCTTACTCTTAAAGCTTACTATGGCTGGCGATGTGTGCATCGGAGCATGACAAAACCAAGGAGAATTAACTTAGCCATCAGCTGCGGAGGAGAGGAAAAAAAGCAGGGAGGGAATTTCTAGCTAGGACTCTGAATTAATCTGCCTCCCTCTGATCACATGACGTGGAAACATGTCGACATTAAAGTACAAAAGATGCAATGTTTAGGAGCAGCACGTTTAACTCAGGACCTGCAGAAAGAAGGAGAATTTTCTTACACGTTCTATCATACAGGAGAGTTTAATATAAAAACCCTCAGCACTTTAAATTAGAAAAGTGGCGGTTTTGCCATGACATGGAACTCTTTCCTTTCTACAGTTATCCTTCTGTGAGAATTACTATGACAAGTCTATGTTGTAAAGGGATAAATTTAACAAAATAAACAATAAACTCCATTTACAAAAGGCTCAAATAGTCATATGTTATATTCTGCCACTGAAAACTCATTTAGGGTTTGGTGGCATCAATAGCCACTTAGTGTGATGTGAAAAATGAAAAGAAGCAAGTCTATAACAAACCCCAAATCCATTTGAATATCTCTTCACACAAATGCTAAAACCTGTTAAAATATGGTTGTTAGGGAATCAGGGGTACACGAATGAGACCCTTGGCAAAACATCTAAGAAACAATGCCTGAATTTTAGAAATCTTTGCTATGTATAGTCACCAAAACATTTTAGATAAGGTGATTTCAAATGCCTGATGTTGTCTGTGAATTTTTATTATCAATAACCTCGCTAGGCTTTATTACAACCCTTACCCCAAATTTAGGCTCAGTTCACAGAAAAAAATGAAGGAAGCACTTACTATGGTGAATTTGTTAATTTAATACAAAACTACTCTTAAAGACACATCTCTACTTAGTTGATGTTGTACTACACAATCCAGAATAAATTTAGGATAATTTTGTCTATTTTAGGCTACTAAAGTCAGCAAATTAAAGATTACCATTTCTTAGGAAAAGAAGTTCAGTGAAAATTTTGTTGAAGAATGCTCTTTTGGAATATAAGCCAAGTCGGAAAACTAATGGTAGGTGGTGGGCTGTATGGTGACATATGCATTATTACATATGGAAATGTTAGTTTTCATTTGAAATGCATAGAAGTACATGAATGGCCATAGTCACAATATTACAACTGTGATAAGGACAGGAGGAGGATGTGGGTACTGAGTTGTGCAGTTACATGTAGAAGTTAACCTTGGCCCTGTATCATCCAAGGTATGCATCAATGATTTTTAACAGCGTGTCAGTTTGTATAGACAACAATGTGCATGTGAGACCTGTATTTAAATCATAAATCATAAATTACTTTGGTCTGAAACTGGACAAGGCTCCAGAATCCACCTGGGAGAATTGACTGGACCTCAGCAATAGGAAAAGGAGGTGGTGGCAAAGGGTCTGCAGAGTTGTTTCTTAACACACATTTTGGAAAATTTATGACATCTTACTTGGTCCTAAAGTAAAATATGATCTGGCAGAGAGGGTAGTTTGTTTCTGAAATGCAAAGATGGAGAAAAGGGTAGAAAATATCTTACTTGTTTATAAATTAAATCATCAGGAAATTACCCTTGCTTGTAGAGTAACTCATTGAATATTGTACCTAGAAAATATATTAAGACACACTAATGTGCTTCAATAGGCCAAAGACTGAGATAAATATTGTCAATAAAGTGGCTATGTTATAATAAATAAATATAACCTGTTAATCAAAATCTATCTGTAAGTAGATTGTTTTGGGGGGCAGGGAATAGAGGCTCTGAAGAGGTTTAACAAATTTTTCTTAACAAAAATAATCCTTCCATTTTCTTAGTTTCTTCCTGTCAGTAGATCATAGGTTACTGCTCTTTGCCTGCCTACTGTCTAGAAGTCTGTAATTTTAAGAGTCTGACATCATCATGATTGGAATCCAACCACGTTCCCCTTTTTGCCTTTGAAATTTAGTTGTGATTTTTGGTTAAGGGTTTTCCTGAAGATTGCTATGAACAACCTAAGTGCTGCAGACCTGAGCTGAGGATTGTCTTGAAAAATATGTTATACTGTGAAATGAGACTTGTTTACATCTGTTAAATGGTAAAAGGACATGATTATAAAACTCCATGCACATATCTCTTGCTTCCATCTAGTTGTATACTAGTATGTTGTTCTATTTGACTATTGTAATAAGAAATTTTTAAGACAAAGCAGTGGTTGCCTACCCCATTTAAACATAGAAGAAGTTACACACAGGACAATGAATGCGCACACTATGCTGAAGTAACTGTTGAATGGATGACTGTGGGATGATCTCTTAAGCTCATGAGGTAGCATTAGATATCTCACTGAAAGGCATGGTGGTAGATGGCATTCCTACCATAGATCAGGCCCTACTTTTTCTCCCTGGTGTCACCAAACAACACCTAATTCCACAGACTGGGGAAATGTGCTAAATTACTGCTTTTCATTTTTCTTTCTAGAGTACACTTCCCAAGTGAAGGATGTGATTATTTGGGAGCTAGCTTAGCACTCATAAGACTTTATTTTCCCCTGAGATGCCAGGACACTGAGAACAGCTCCATGAATAAAACCTGCCTGTCACAGGGAATGATAAATTAATATCATGGTATCCAGAAAGAAGACAAAGATAGACAACACCATTTGTACAAGTGGGAAATACTTGGTTTGTGCTAAAAATATGGCTTGATGGTTATGCTTCTCATGCCCACAAGCCAACAGAGGAGAAGCAGTTGGACACTGTTTTACTTCTATTCATCTGTCTGTATTCATAGTCGAAACTACCACAACAGCCTTAAATCTATGAAGATGTGAGCACAGACTGACACCCCTCAATTAGAGAAGGGTATTAAGAACCATACCAGAAAGAATAACACCTCAACATTTTTGAAGTTTAGGGAAAATTTTTTAACTAGCAATCTTCGGTAGAAAAAAGAAAGTATTAAAGTTTCTAAAGAGAAGTTTCTTTTGTTTGTTTGGTTGTTTGTTTTTTTTTTCTGTCTGTGCAACAAATAGAGACCACCACAGAAAACCTCAGCCAATCAAAATGTAGAGTTGTAGAGCCTAGTACTGGTGTGTACATACATAGTAAAACTCCCGCACATAAGGCTCAGGGAAAATTGTGAGAGGAGGCAGAATGATTTTAAGACCAGGAAGTGTGCTGTGAGAGTGTCTTGCAGTAGCATCAGAAGTGATACCCATAAAGTCTTACCAGTGAGACTGCCCTAAGGTGAGATGAGCAAGAATGATATCGATGAATAGAAGCCCCCAAGGCCTCAACAATACACATGAACTGTAGGCAACTGAGGAAATCTGGAGGCAGGAGAGGTGGTCTTCCTCAAGGAGGAATACACCAATTTGCTGTCCTGTGTCAAAGGTCAGCCCTGAAACCATACACATAAGTAAAATTATATGGAGTGAGCAGATCATATTTATGAACATCTAAGTATATGAATTTATGCATACAATAACAATTAATGAAATAAGGGACTATGGTTTTGAAGGAGAGATGGAAGTAGTGTGCGAGATGGTTTGGCAGGAGGAAAGAGAATGGAGAAATGGTGTAATTACAATCTCAAAAATTTTATAGCAAAGTAGACACTTAACCAGACAACAGCTGCTGTTTCCAAGTTCCTGCCCTGCTGAGTTCTGTCTTGAATTCCTCCATTGACGAACAGTGATGTATAAGTGTAAGACAAATAAACCTTTTTCTCCCCAGTTTGCTTTTTGTTGTGATGTTTCATCACAGCAATAATAGCCCAAACTAAGACAATTATGTTCATCTTTGATGGTGAGTAATAAACCAATATGCTCCTAACTCACTGGATTGGTAAATATCAAGTAAGCCATGAAGACTTGTAGTTTTCCACAAAGACTGCGGGGATCCACCTGACAATTTTGTGTAAAAGTTGAAGACATTGTATGGGTTCTGGATCAGAATCCTGAGTGTTGTTCTCAGATTCTGTGTATCACCATCAGCTCAACCTTTCCTAGAAACATGACAGTATCAGGAACGCTGGTGCTCAGCTTCAGAGTTTTCTGTAGACTGGTTGATGTCATGTATAATGACACTTCACAGTTTCTGTTAGGAAAAAAAGCCAGCATGTCCTCTCAAGAAACAACAACAGTAGCAGCAGCAGCAACAACAAAGCACAAAACCAAAACCAAAATCAAACCGAATTGAATTAAAACAAAACAAAAATTGCTTGAAATGGTGAACACACGAAACAGCCTAGTTAGCTGCCATTGGAGTCACAAGGTGTGTCTATAGTCCAATGCCCACTAGCTTTCAAAATAAAATAAATAGACTTCCAAATGTGATGGATAGTAGTTCAGGATGCTTAAAAATTGATAAACAATGCTGTGTACAATAACTTGATTGCTACGTAAGATGGTTATGGGATGGCAGGACTGGAGGAACGCTGGTGGTCAACTCTGAGAAAGAAGAGGGCTCACGTCAGGAAGCATAGGTAGAGGGAGATGTGAGCCCTGTATTCATTCAAACATGCAAAG